AAAGAGAAAAGTATAACAATTTTGGTATATATGTAATCTGTCTCGATCCAAATCATAACCCATTAATATAAAAGGCTCTTCATGCCAATTAAACAAGTTGAAAGCTCACATTATAAAATAGTACATGATGAACATATTAACCTAATTTAGAACGGGCCCTAGTTCTCCCAGGCATATAGAAACAATTTAAAAGAGTAATTAAAATGAATTAAACCTTTCCCAGTAAGTATTTTTAATAGATTAAGGACAGCCAGAAAAGAAAACGGTTTAATCACATAGAATAGATGAGTTAGAGGTAAGCTAGCAAAATGAGATATGGAACTTCTTCACAACATACTGAATGCCCCTGTTTGGAAATAGAGTTACTTTCCAGTCACTGAATATTCTACAAGGCCTTCTAACCATGATGCAACATGAATATACTCTCAAGAACACCAAAAGTCCAAGATATTCAAATGAATAATGCATTACTATATACTTGGAATAATATCAATTTAACTTCAAGAGAAAAACAAGAAAATATTCTTCTCTTCAACGCACTGCCTTAATGTAATGAATAATACTATTATGGGAACAACACATTCAAGTACATTCTTAATTATTCAGACGATTGTGTAACCATTTGTAACATCCCAAAAAATACATTAATAAACCATACGATAGAAATAATTATAATTAGTAATATATCAGTTTCAGTCTTACATTAAAGAAAGCGTGCGGTTCTGACCGAACGGCAATAAACAGTAAGAGTTCAAATTTGACTATACAACAATACGAAACTGACCAAACGGTTTACAAAAGGAATTACCGAACGGTCATTCCTAACAAAAGGAAAGGTGATCGAACGACACCTTACACTAACTAGACTATACTACTAACCGAACAAACTACGGTTCGGCCTTAACTTCAACTTCTATGAGGTTCTCTTCCTCCAAATTTTCTTCTTCCAGCGCCTCTTCTAGTAGCGCGTCTCCTTCTGCTCACATGCACACGGATGATCATTGCAACGACAAGACGGACGTAGAAGACGAGACAACACAAGGAAAACACAGGGTAAGCTTATGTAATTTAATTAAGTTACAAATCATACAATTCATACCATCAACACACAGATAAAGTTAACAATACGTTTCAAGCAAGGCCTACCACTAGACCAACCGTCCGGACTATATGAAATCTGTGTAGCTACGACGTTCGTGCACCCGGGTGATGTAGTAACTGGAATACTCTCATCAGCTGCCACCCGAGGTTAGTCCTATCTGTCCAAAGTACCCCTAAGGACTAGGACCTCCTGCCGTTTCCACACATGACCCACTCTCCTCTACGTGAGGACGAGTACTCACGGAACATGAGGATGAATCAACAGCTTAGCGTTACCACAGTCATACTTTACAACTTTCAAATATTCACTCAGAAGTCGTTCCTCCTCGGAACGCTCGTTCAAAAATCACAACCTTTCATTCATCTTATATACTCTTCATCTTTTATAATTCTTCACTTTAGTGTCATCCTTATCACCAGTTCTAAGAACCTCAAAAACCGAACGTTCAGCCCCCTTCAGAACGAGTACGAACGATAAGAACGAGACCGAGAAATCTCCCATTCCAGAATAGAATAAGACCGAAGGGGTTACTTTTAGATTTAAGAATAAATCGAGTACAATTATACAATATGTGACGAACGTTACTTACAACATGAATCAGTTAAATGAACTGACTCTCGTGAACTACAATCAACACTTAAAGAATACATCAGGTACGGGGACTATAGGTTGGAGACAATGAAAGTAGATGTGTCAAGACTTTAAAGAACCTTATGTAGAATAATTCATATATATATATATATATATATAGACTAAGTGTCGGTCAATGACTGAGCACGGTAAAATAGGTTCTACTGAAATTGGACGAACGCTGTTTCATTAAGATTGATGATTTAAAAACGAGTACGAGCGTTCGGTATAAGACCGAACGCCACTCATTACGAGAGCTTAGGTCGAGACCTATCACTCCTTTAAACTTATAATAGAAACATTAATAATAATGATTATGATAAGACACGTCGGAGACAGTGTGGAAGAATAACTAATATACAAATACATGTTTACAAGACTTTCAGTTCCTCACGTAACACTCCGGTACATCTACGTTTGGCCGAACGCTCAAACATAGCACTATTACAATAAGGCGCTCGTCCTCAAATAGAATTCTTCCCAAATGAAAGAATTCTATTTCAAAGAATTTTACTAGAAACACCGAACGGTCAAGGACCGTTCAATGTCGAATGTTCAATATCATAGCGGAATTTCTTATTCAGAATTCATTTACATTCAAATTCATTTCTTAGCATATAACTTCATAATTTCATACTTTCATATCATAGCACATTTCATATTACTCATGCATCAACTCATAATCATTATCATATATCAAATAACCAAACATCACAAAGTCATGCTTCATACAACTCACAGAACGTCCATGCAGCATAGTAAAACATAAGAATTAAATTGAATAAGCTTCCCTTACCTCTAGTGTGAACGATCGTCCTAGAGGCAGATGTATGGTTGGTCTGACTAAAATCTCTCCTACCCTTACGTTCCACAACTCTTAACTAATTAACAGCAAAACAACCAAAAGTGGATCAGACAAGATATCAGCATTCAACCGAGGCTTGGTTTGCATGCACTATAGAACGAACGACTAAGGACAAAAGACTTACCAGGTTCAGAACCCGGAAATGTTCGGTTCAGAATGAAGCTTATGATGCCGGGAACGCTTCTACGGTCTCTGAAAGATGATCGGAGGAGTAAAAAGGTGAGTTTTGATAGAGAGAAGGGGAAGTTTTTAGAGAGAAGTAGGAGAAGATGAAAAGTTCAGAGTTTTGGGGAAGAAGGTGCATGCAGAGTGAGTGAAACGGGATTTCCAGAAAAATCAGGTTTTGTTTTTCTCGTTAAAACGAACATCCGCTCACTCGCTGACACCTGTCTTCCACTGTCTGATTTTCGAATCTTTGTTGCTTGACACCTGACGTCCACGCAGAGGGTTTTAGGTGCGTTTTAAATGACTCTGACAGAGAGTTTGAGTGTGTTTTTTCGAGGTCTGACACTGTTTCTTTCAGAGTGGGTACGTGTATATGGAAGAAGCAAAAAATAAAAAAGCAATCGTACAAACAAACGGAATGAGAAGCAAATTAATATGATGGAATCGAAGAAGTTAGTTGATACTAGATTTGAATAAGATATGTGGAAAATTAAACAACAATAATTACAATTATCAACCACTCTCATAAGTTCTATACTACATAAACGCCAAAAACAATTCTTCGCAGATAATGTTGATTCTTAACCATTCACTTTTCAAACTATTCAATAGTTACTCTACCTTAGAGTAAGAGAAAATAAAAAAATTTCAAATCATTTTCTAACTAAATATTTTAAAATTAATTAAAAAAATAAGCGTCTAACTTCTTTACATATTACAACAAATTATTTTGAAATCTATTAATAAAATACCACATCATCAATCTCTTGGACATTTTACCTGAGATTGACGAGCATAAATCTGTTGCCATGTCTGCAGTTTCTTCTTTGTAAATCTCCACACCAAAATATCTCATTTTACCTTTAGATTATTATCTAAACTGGAGAGAAATCATTTGGTCCCAAGATTCTATTAAAAATTAATTTTGATTTCTGAATTTCATAATTCAGAAGCATTTTCTAAGAATCTTTTATTTTAAATTATAAAATATGTGAAAGTTGTTTCCAGTTTTTATATAGTACAATTTAAAATTGTTTTACTGTATAATTCAAAGAAGACAAAACTGAAATTTTGCATAAAAATGCAGAAAAAAAATTATAATATATATATATATATATATATATATATATATATATAGATATTAAAGAATAATGATGAAAATATAGATTAAGTTTAGACAAACATAATATTGCATAATATTGTAAGTAATATAAGATATTGTAATTGATATAATATTATATCTAATTAAGTTTGTCTATGTAAGAATTTGGTGAAACTATTTATTAATAGACTAATGGATTAGTTGTAATGTCTTCAAATATAATATTTTTTTTTCATTAAAATGAAAGTCAATTTTAAAATGTTTAGACCTTTTTATGAAAGACAATATTTGCTCTATTATAAAGAGCAATTTGATTGTTATGCATTAGATCTTGTCATAATGGTATCTGGACAAAAGGAGATCGGTCATGTCCAGTCAGTATTTTAAGAAGATCATTTAATGTACTTTGATAAAAAAATAAACATTATCTAAATTGGATATTGTTAATGTCATTTGACAACATGGAAGTATACAACATGCAAAGATTAAAGAAAATAGTTATTCTTGCTCTCACATTCACTCCCCAACACTACCTAAATGAAAACTATCATTTCCCATGGTAATCGCATTGGACTTGGGACTTCAAATTTTTTTACGATGATTCATCAAAATTACAAGGAACTTGATTTTCTAGGGACAGATTAAAGAAAATAGTTGTTCTTGATACGAAAAAAGGATTAAATAGCATACGCATCAACTTTGTTTATGGTTGACTGAACTATTACACATTTCAATTCCTAAACCGTTCAGGATGACAGCATCTCCTACGAAAGTTATTTTATGGATGAAGATAGATGCCTGATATAATGACCACCCCAGCCACACTCTCCCAATAGAAAACAATAACAACATTAAGAAGAACGACCACATTAAATATTTTTTAATAAATTTGAGAGATAAATTTAACTCGAATTTGGGAAAATTAATCCAACTATTTTCATTTCTCTATCTCTCTCTCCTTGCACAACTTTTGAGTTTTCCCATGAATGAAAAGAAATAAATATATTATATAATATCTAATTCTCTATTTCCATTTTACTTGACGTTTTTTATAATAAAAATGTTATCTTTCATATACTTTCGTATTCTTCCTAATATTATTTGGAATCACTATTGTTTATTCCCAACAATTATATGCGCAAGAATAAAAAATTGTAATTAGACCATTTTCTATCTCCCTTGGAATTCCTGTTAAAATGGAACTATCTGACTGAGTATTTATTAGTGTTGTATAACATGATTTCTATGTAAAGATTCAAAAAGAATTGTTATTCTTGCTTGATACGAAAAAGGGATAAATAGCTTCTGCATCAACTTCGTTGATGGTTGACTCAACTGCTACATCATACATGTTTCAATTCCTACATCAACGTTGTGGTGGATGACAGCATCTCTTATAAGAGTTATTTCTTGCATGAAATAATGACCAGCCCAGCCACCCCATCATCTCTTATAACAGTTATTTCAATTCCTGATATAATGGCCACCGCAGCCACGACAACACCAACGGATCTCAAGATTCTTATTGCAGATACAGCTGGTTAAACAGATGGGACTGTCATGAGATCATTCATCTGAAAAAAGAAAACGTTGTGAACTAAGGTAAGAAAATATGACAATGAATAACAAAGGCATAACTATATGATTTTGGAAAGATATTGCAAAATAAGGGTGAAAAATCCGGTTCATATGACTGGTTATACAATTTTGTGATAAAAATACTTATAAATTGCCGATTATACCAGACAAATAACTAAATGTTCACCCACCACGACAGGTTGCTTCCAATGCTTCTTTATTCCCTCTAAATGAGCCCTTCCAACAACAGCAACAACTGAGCTATTTTCACTCGCCACTTTTAATAATGTGGAGGACATGTACCTGGATGGATGAAAGCCCCCATGGTATTGAATTTCAGATCACCAGGGTGACAAGAATATGCATGTCAATAACAGAACCAAGACACCCTCCAACAAGAACCCCTGTGCTAAGGGGTAACATAACAGGGTGACAAGTGTTAACTAAAGAATTCTCTAAAGAGTACGGGAAGCAGGTTACAGGTAATAGAAGCAATAAATGAATCAGTAAATTGATATTAATGCAATGCAACTTACTGATCTCGTTCATGCCCAATAATCTCCACGAAAGTCGGAAACCACTTACTCATGACACTGTCATCCCTTAACTTCGGCTGAAGAAAGCAAACCCAAGTTAGGATATAGACAAGAACTAAATAGCACAAACACTAACAGAGGATTAAAATTTACCTCATTGTTAAGATAATCAGAGCCGGGTATAATAACTGCCCCGAGAAGTAAAAGGAGTAACAATTTTGTTTTATGCCAAAGTGGGGTCTTACTCCAAAATCTCCTTAATGTAATCTGTATCAATCAAAATCAGAATCCATTAATACATAAAAAAGAGGCTCATCATGCCAATTAAACCAAGTTGAAATCTCACATAATAAAATAGTACATGCTGAACATATTAATTTAATTTAGAACATGCCAGTATTTCTCCCATAATTATAGAAATAATTTTAAAGGGTGATGAATAGGCATTGAGCCTTTTTCAGTAAGTATTTTTAACAGATTCAGGACTCCAGAAAAAATAAAGATTTTTCTCCAATAGAATGAACATGTTTGTGGTAAGCTTGGAGAATGCTGCTGTGTTACATAGTAGTCACGTCACGGGTTCTACTCAATGGAAGAAGGGTATTTTAATTTACAAATATGCTGGAAAAATGAGATACGGAACTTCTTTATAAGCTTAAAGAATTTTATGTTACATAGTACTCATGGAATCTAGTCACCATAACAACATATTTACTTTTTTTTTCTTTTCTAAGAGTATTCTGACTTACAAATTTGCTAGCAAAATGAGATATGGAACTTCTTCACATCATATAGAATGCCCCTGTTTGGAAATAGAGCTACTTTCCAATCACTGAATATTCTACAAGGCCTTCTAACAATGATGCAACACGAATATACTCTCAAGAACACCAAAAGTCCAAGATATTCTAATGAATAATGCAATACTATTTACTTGCAATACTATCAATTTATTTTCAAGAGAAAAGCAAAAAAATATTCCTCTCTTCACCACACTGGCTTAATGTAATGAATAATACTATTATGGGAACAACAGGTACATTCTTTATTATTCAGACGAATATTTTACATCAACATAGTTGAAATTTTCTCTGCATTTAACATATTAGAATGAGAACTCATCTGACATTATCAGGGCGATCACCAAGTATCACTTTGCCTCCATATTTGATGGCTTCTTCATATGCCACACGAAACTCATTTTCATGAAGATCATCAGCAATCTGTCAGAAACTTAAGGAGTAAATGACAGGATATATGAAAAACATAGCATTATTGGACGTTCAAAGAGTGATAATTGAAACCGTATTAAAGGATGAGACATGATTGTCCAGAAACCTGCCTTGGCTTGGAACCAACCCAAAAGTACTGAAAAAATGTTCTCTTTTTTCCTCAATTGTGTAACCATTTCTTTCACAGTGGGTACGTGTCTCTGGAAGAAGTAAAAAAAAACAATCGTACCAACAAACAACTGAATGAGAACCAGATTAATTTGATAGAATTGAAGAAGTTAGTTGATATTAGATTTGAATAAGACATGTGGAAAATTAAATAACAATAATTACAATTATTATTTTATTGCTTTAAGAGATGGTTTAATTTCAGCCATCTGATACTTTATCTATCAAACAATCTCCTCATCTAATATGGAACAAAAGAAAGTCGGATCTCCCTACAAATTGGAATTTGGAATAGACAAATATTTCCTCTCACTTTTCAACTTATGTATTTAAATTACAAATTGGGCTGGTAAAAGGGTTAGGGTTATGGTCTTAGAAATCGGACTTACGGTCTCACTCAACCAAACCATGTGGAACTACACCAGAAAACTTCCAAGTTAAAATTGCGGCAACTACAAAAGAGGTCAAAGTTGGTTGGCTAGGCGTGACAACAATTTAACAGACCAAACTACAAAGGAAATGATAGAATAATTACAAAACAATAATTTAAAGGATAAAAACCTTGAAATTTTTACAGGTAAGAGTTGAAGCACGACTCTGGCACAACTCTAGGAAGAGGGCCTGCAAAAACAAAGGCCGACCATGGGTTTCATTATTGAAAATCCAAAAAGTCAGGAAGAGTCATCATGAAACCAAGAGCCACCAAATTAAGCAAGTGAATGGTCAATCAATCAGCCAAGCATTAGTAAGTTCAAAAGAGAAACAGAACCTCCGGTTTCAGAAATTTCACTGTAGCCTGAACTCGTCTGTATGATTCCTGAAATAAAATTCGGCATAAATTTTACTCTCTCAGCAATTCACCGACTAACTTTACTTATTATTAAATCAACTAGAATTGATAAAAACACGGTCTTACATCGTCTTAGGAAATGACAATAACAGTTCCAATTTACAGAACAAAATAAAATAAAAGAATCCATCATTATTCGTTCTCGTTGAACATAGCGATAATGTGCAGCACAACGAAACCTAAAACCTGATTCCGAACGACCAGAATCAATACCTTGGTGCCATGAGAGACTCCGACCAAGTAAACGTGGCAGACGCCGCCTTCAGCTGAAGACTCGCACGAGAGGACAATCAGGTCTTTAGATAGATCGTCCGGGAGCCTGACCGGGTGGTGGGTGAAGGCGGAGGTGTCGGTGGAGAATTGGAGGGAAGATAGGGTTTGGGAACAAGAAATTGGTGCTACGAGGAGAGATTTATGGCGATGAATGAAGGGCGTGACTCGGGCGAGCTGATTGAGAGTGCGAGTGCGAGTGACGAGGTGACCCATAAGCCGTTGAAACATGACGCAGAGAATCTGATGTTGCGAGAAAGGTATGGAGCGATCAATGAAGGATGCATGGTTATACAATTTTGTGATAAAAATAAGGGGAAAAAAATCCGGTTCAGGACTGGTTATACAATTTTGTGATAAAAATACTTATAAATTGCCGATTATATCACTCAAATAACTAAATGTTCAGCCACCAGGACAGGTTGCTTCTAATGCTTCTGTATTCTCTGTAAATTATCCATTCCAACAACAGCAACAACAGATTAATAATGTGAAGGACATGTACCTGGATGGATGAAAGCCCCATGGTATTGAATTTCAGATTATGCATGTCAATAACAGAACCAAGACACCCTCCAACAAGAACCCCTGTGCTAAGTGGTCACATAATAGGGTGACAAGTGTTTACTGAAGCATTCTCTAAAAAGTACGGGAAGCAGGTTACAGGTAATAGAAGCAAAAAATGAATCAGTAAATTGATATTAAGTGCAATGCAACTTACTGATCTCGTTCATGTAAAAGAGTCTCCATTAAAGTCGGAAACTTCTTACTCATGTCACTGCCATCCGTTTCCTTCAGCTGAAGAAAGCAAACCCAAGTTAGGCTATAGACAAGAACTAAATACCACAAACACTAACAATTCAAACTTATCACTGGTACATGAGGATTATAAAAATTTACCTTTTTGTTAAGATAATCAGAGCTGGGTAAAAAAACTGCCACTGTAACATTCCTGTTTTATGCCAAAGTGGTGTCTTACTCCACATTCTCCTAAATGTAATTTGTATCAATCAAAATCAGAATCCATTAATACATAAAAAAGAGGCTCTTCATGCCAATTAAACCAAGTTGAAAGCTCACGTAATAAAATAGTACATGCTGAACATATTAATCTAATTTAGAACATGCCAGTATTTCTCCCATACTTATAGAAATAATTTTAAAGAGTGATGAATAAGCATTGAGCCTTTTTCAGTAAGTATTTTTAACATATTCAGGACTCCAGAAAAAATAAAGATTTTTCTCCAATAGAATGAACATGTTTGCGGTAAGCTTGGAGAATGCTGTTGTGTTACATAATAGACACTGGTTCTAGTCATTGGAAGAAGGGTATTCTAATTTACAAATATGCTGGAAAAATGAGATAAGGAACTTCTTTATAACATAGAATTTCCCCTGTTTGGACAAAATGAATATAGAGTTACTTTCTAGTCACGGAATATACTACAAGGTTTGTTAGAATATTTATCATTATTATATTATGTTTAGGATTATCCTATTTATCATGATTATATTATATTTAAAATTATTGTATTTATCATGATTATATTGTGTATAGTGTTACTCTATTTATCATGTACTTTGTAATAAACTTTCTTATATATAGAATGAGAGTGAGAGAGAATTATTTGACAATAGTTGGTATCAGAGTGGGTCGATCCCGTTCTTGTTTTTGTCTTGTAGCATCTGTCCGGTGTTGTTGTTCGCCACCGTCTGTCGCCGTCCACCGTTGGTCGCCGCAGTCCGCCGTCGACCGCTGTCCATCGCTGTCGGTCGCCATCATAGTTTTATCCATCTAAACCCTTAGGGTTTTCTTGTTTCTTGTTGATGTGATGCTTCTTCTTTATAGACGACGTTTGACAATACTCTTTCCTTCTCCGGAAGTCCATCAATTACCTCCGAGAAGCTAAATGAGAAAAATTATTTATCACGGTCTGCTGCGGTTGAAATGTGGTTCCTTGGCCAAGGACATTATGACCCCCTTGAGCAAGACGGAAGCCATGTGCCATGATATGGTGTCCTTCATGGCTGAAGCCCAATCTACTATCAAAGAACTCAGAATGTTTTTGGAAGCAGACCCATTAGAGGATATAAAAAAAACTAGACAAATTTTACATGGTGTTTGATCCTTCGTGCCCTACATCCCGATTTTGGTCATCTCAAAGATCAACTTCTGACTAGTCATGAGGTCCCCTCCATGGAAACATTGACCACTCGCCTTCTGCATGTCCTAGTACCTCAAACTTAAGAAGCGCATGAACTAGTGGAGCCATTTGTCATAGTTGCCACACGAGGAAGAGGAGGACGTGACACTAGAGGAGGAGGACGAGGAGGTCGGGGACGTCCTCAATGCACATACTGTAAAAGGATGGGTCACACTCAAGAGAATTATTACTCCTTACGTGGCTTCCTTTCCAAAACCGTTAATATTTCAAAGATTAAAACTTCCATAAGACTGAAACTTCCACTTCTAAGTTCACCGAGGATGAATATCAAAAGTATCTAAGGTTAAAGTCTAACAGCTTGGCACAACCATCTCAATCTCCCAATACATCAACAGCCTGCGTTTCTCAATCTATGGAATGTCAAAATTCATGGGTAATTGACTCAGGTGCTTCTGATCACATTTCTGGTAATACCTCTTTGTTCTCATCTATTTCCTTTCGAGAAAAACCTCATTTCATAACCCTTGCAAATGGATCTAAAACTTCTTCCAAAGGAGTTGGTCATGTTTACTTGTCTCTCTCCCTCAATCTCAACTCTGTCCTTTTTGTCCCTAATTGTTCTTTTAATTTAATTTCCCTAAGTCCGTTGAACAAAATGTTAAATTGTTCAATAACATTTGATAAAAAATCTTTTGTTATACAAGAGTGTGGTTCGGGGAGACATATTGGAGAAGGATATGAAGCTAGCGGATTATACCATTTTGGATCTCGTCCAAGGGTGTCTTGTGTTGCTGCTCTAAATCCTAAAGTGCTACATGATCGACTTGACTATCCTCATTTGTCCAAATTAAAAAAGATGTGTTCTGAACTTTTGTCTCGCGCTAACTTAGAGGAGAAGAAGTTTGTTCTTCTCGCGCTCAATCACCATATGTTCTTACAAAGTTGATTTATTGTTCATTGATTTGGTAAATAACGTTAGTTCATTTCTAAATCCCTAAATTAGTAACATCCCAAAACCCTAATCCCTCTCTTGTTTCTTTCTTCCAAAACCATAATCTCGAAATGTTTCTATATTTAAGATCGAAGGAAATTGGGTAAGGGTATTTTCTGTCAAGTTTATGTTGGTAGAAGGGTAAGTGATGGCTCTGGTCGAATAGGTCCTTATGTGGTTGAGGTATTACTCATAATTTCAATCTCTTTAAGGGTTTGATGAAGTATTAGTGAGCCTATGCTTAACGACACATTGTTTTTACTTATTTTAACCTTCTTTACAGGTTGCAGTTAAGTTTGANTTCAGATCACCAGGGTGACAAGAATATGCATGTCAATAACAGAACCAAGACACCCTCCAACAAGAACCCCTGTGCTAAGGGGTAACATAACAGGGTGACAAGTGTTAACTAAAGAATTCTCTAAAGAGTACGGGAAGCAGGTTACAGGTAATAGAAGCAATAAATGAATCAGTAAATTGATATTAATGCAATGCAACTTACTGATCTCGTTCATGCCCAATAATCTCCACGAAAGTCGGAAACCACTTACTCATGACACTGTCATCCCTTAACTTCGGCTGAAGAAAGCAAACCCAAGTTAGGATATAGACAAGAACTAAATAGCACAAACACTAACAGAGGATTAAAATTTACCTCATTGTTAAGATAATCAGAGCCGGGTATAATAACTGCCCCGAGAAGTAAAAGGAGTAACAATTTTGTTTTATGCCAAAGTGGGGTCTTACTCCAAAATCTCCTTAATGTAATCTGTATCAATCAAAATCAGAATCCATTAATACATAAAAAAGAGGCTCTTCATGCCAATTAAACCAAGTTGAAATCTCACATAATAAAATAGTACATGCTGAACTTATTAATTTAATTTAGAACATGCCAGTATTTCTCCCATAATTATAGAAATAATTTTAAAGGGTGATGAATAGGCATTGAGCCTTTTTCAGTAAGTATTTTTAACAGATTCAGGACTCCAGAAAAAATAAAGATTTTTCTCCAATAGAATGAACATGTTTGTGGTAAGCTTGGAGAATGCTGCTGTGTTACATAGTAGTCACGTCACGGGTTCTACTCAATGGAAGAAGGGTATTTTAATTTACAAATATGCTGGAAAAATGAGATACGGAACTTCTTTATAAGCTTAAAGAATTTTATGTTACATAGTACTCATGGAATCTAGTCACCATAACAACATATTTACTTTTTTTTTCTTTTCTAAGAGTATTCTGACTTACAAATTTGCTAGCAAAATGAGATATGGAACTTCTTCACATCATATAGAATGCCCCTGTTTGGAAATAGAGCTACTTTCCAATCACTGAATATTCTACAAGGCCTTCTAACAATGATGCAACACGAATATACTCTCAAGAACACCAAAAGTCCAAGATATTCTAATGAATAATGCAATACTATTTACTTGCAATACTATCAATTTATTTTCAAGAGAAAAGCAAAAAAATATTCCTCTCTTCACCACACTGGCTTAATGTAATGAATAATACTATTATGGGAACAACAGGTACATTCTTTATTATTCAGACGAATATTTTACATCAACATAGTTGAAATTTTCTCTGCATTTAACATATTAGAATGAGAACTCATCTGACATTATCAGGGCGATCACCAAGTATCACTTTGCCTCCATATTTGATGGCTTCTTCATATGCCACACGAAACTCATTTTCATGAAGATCATCAGCAATCTGTCAGAAACTTAAGGAGTAAATGACAGGATATATGAAAAACATAGCATTATTGGACGTTCAAAGAGTGATAATTGAAACCGTATTAAAGGATGAGACATGATTGTCCAGAAACCTGCCTTGGCTTGGAACCAACCCAAAAGTACTGAAAAAATGTTCTCTTTTTTCCTCAATTGTGTAACCATTTCTTTCACAGTGGGTACGTGTCTCTGGAAGAAGTAAAAAAAAACAATCGTACCAACAAACAACTGAATGAGAACCAGATTAATTTGATAGAATTGAAGAAGTTAGTTGATATTAGATTTGAATAAGACATGTGGAAAATTAAATAACAATAATTACAATTATTATTTTATTGCTTTAAGAGATGGTTTAATTTCAGCCATCTGATACTTTATCTATCAAACAATCTCCTCATCTAATATGGAACAAAAGAAAGTCGGATCTCCCTACAAATTGGAATTTGGAATAGACAAATATTTCCTCTCACTTTTCAACTTATGTATTTAAATTACAAATTGGGCTGGTAAAAGGGTTAGGGTTATGGTCTTAGAAATCGGACTTACGGTCTCACTCAACCAAACCATGTGGAACTACACCAGAAAACTTCCAAGTTAAAATTGCGGCAACTACAAAAGAGGTCAAAGTTGGTTGGCTAGGCGTGACAACAATTTAACAGACCAAACTACAAAGGAAATGATAGAATAATTACAAAACAATAATTTAAAGGATAAAAACCTTGAAATTTTTACAGGTAAGAGTTGAAGCACGACTCTGGCACAACTCTAGGAAGAGGGCCTGCAAAAACAAAGGCCGACCATGGGTTTCATTATTGAAAATCCAAAAAGTCAGGAAGAGTCATCATGAAACCAAGAGCCACCAAATTAAGCAAGTGAATGGTCAATCAATCAGCCAAGCATTAGTAAGTTCAAAAGAGAAACAGAACCTCCGGTTTCAGAAATTTCACTGTAGCCTGAACTCGTCTGTATGATTCCTGAAATAAAATTCGGCATAAATTTTACTCTCTCAGCAATTCACCGACTAACTTTACTTATTATTAAATCAACTAGAATTGATAAAAACACGGTCTTACATCGTCTTAGGAAATGACAATAACAGTTCCAATTTACAGAACAAAATAAAATAAAAGAATCCATCATTATTCGTTCTCGTTGAACATAGCGATAATGTGCAGCACAACGAAACCTAAAACCTGATTCCGAACGACCAGAATCAATACCTTGGTGCCATGAGAGACTCCGACCAAGTAAACGTGGCAGACGCCGCCTTCAGCTGAAGACTCGCACGAGAGGACAATCAGGTCTTTAGATAGATCGTCCGGGAGCCTGACCGGGTGGTGGGTGAAGGCGGAGGTGTCGGTGGAGAATTGGAGGGAAGATAGGGTTTGGGAACAAGAAATTGGTGCTACGAGGAGAGATTTATGGCGATGAATGAAGGGCGTGACTCGGGCGAGCTGATTGAGAGTGCGAGTGCGAGTGACGAGGTGACCCATAAGCCGTTGAAACATGACGCAGAGAATCTGATGTTGCGAGAAAGGTATGGAGCGATCAATGAAGGATGCATGGTTATACAATTTTGTGATAAAAATAAGGGGAAAAAAATCCGGTTCAGGACTGGTTATACAATTTTGTGATAAAAATACTTATAAATTGCCGATTATATCACTCAAATAACTAAATGTTCAGCCACCAGGACAGGTTGCTTCTAATGCTTCTGTATTCTCTGTAAATTATCCATTCCAACAACAGCAACAACAGATTAATAATGTGAAGGACATGTACCTGGATGGATGAAAGCCCCATGGTATTGAATTTCAGATTATGCATGTCAATAACAGAACCAAGACACCCTCCAACAAGAACCCCTGTGCTAAGTGGTCACATAATAGGGTGACAAGTGTTTACTGAAGCATTCTCTAAACAGTACGGGAAGCAGGTTACAGGTAATAGAAGCAAAAAATGAATCAGTAAATTGATATTAAGTGCAATGCAACTTACTGATCTCGTTCATGTAAAAGAGTCTCCATTAAAGTCGGAAACTTCTTACTCATGTCACTGCCATCCGTTTCCTTCAGCTGAAGAAAGCAAACCCAAGTTAGGCTATAGACAAGAACTAAATACCACAAACACTAACAATTCAAACTTATCACTGGTACATGAGGATTATAAAAATTTACCTTTTTGTTAAGATAATCAGAGCTGGGTAAAAAAACTGCCACTGTAACATTCCTGTTTTATGCCAAAGTGGTGTCTTACTCCACATTCTCCTAAATGTAATTTGTATCAATCAAAATCAGAATCCATTAATACATAAAAAAGAGGCTCTTCATGCCAATTAAACCAAGTTGAAAGCTCACGTAATAAAATAGTACATGCTGAACATATTAATCTAATTTAGAACATGCCAGTATTTCTCCCATACTTATAGAAATAATTTTAAAGAGTGATGAATAAGCATTGAGCCTTTTTCAGTAAGTATTTTTAACATATTCAGGACTCCAGAAAAAATAAAGATTTTTCTCCAATAGAATGAACATGTTTGCGGTAAGCTTGGAGAATGCTGTTGTGTTACATAATAGTCACTGGTTCTAGTCATTGGAAGAAGGGTATTCTAATTTACAAATATGCTGGAAAAATGAGATAAGGAACTTCTTTATAACATAGAATTTCCCCTGTTTGGACAAAATGAATATAGAGTTACTTTCTAGTCACGGAATATACTACAAGGTTTGTTAGAATATTTATCATTATTATATTATGTTTAGGATTATCCTATTTATCATGATTATATTATATTTAAAATTATTGTATTTATCATGATTATATTGTGTATAGTGTTACTCTATTTATCATGTACTTTGTAATAAACTTTCTTATATATAGAATGAGAGTGAGAGAGAATTATTTGACAATAGTTGGTATCAGAGTGGGTCGATCCCGTTCTTGTTTTTGTCTTGTAGCATCTGTCCGGTGTTGTTGTTCGCCACCGTCTGTCGCCGTCCACCGTTGGTCGCCGCAGTCCGCCGTCGACCGCTGTCCATCGCTGTCGGTCGCCATCATAGTTTTATCCATCTAAACCCTTAGGGTTTTCTTGTTTCTTGTTGATGTGATGCTTCTTCTTTATAGACGACGTTTGACAATACTCTTTCCTTCTCCGGAAGTCCATCAATTACCTCCGAGAAGCTAAATGAGAAAAATTATTTATCACGGTCTGCTGCGGTTGAAATGTGGTTCCTTGGCCAAGGACATTATGACCCCCTTGAGCAAGACGGAAGCCATGTGCCATGATATGGTGTCCTTCATGGCTGAAGCCCAATCTACTATCAAAGAACTCAGAATGTTTTTGGAAGCAGACCCATTAGAGGATATAAAAAAAACTAGACAAATTTTACATGGTGTTTGATCCTTCGTGCCCTACATCCCGATTTTGGTCATCTCAAAGATCAACTTCTGACTAGTCATGAGGTCCCCTCCATGGAAACATTGACCACTCGCCTTCTGCATGTCCTAGTACCTCAAACTTAAGAAGCGCATGAACTAGTGGAGCCATTTGTCATAGTTGCCACACGAGGAAGAGGAGGACGTGACACTAGAGGAGGAGGACGAGGAGGTCGGGGACGTCCTCAATGCACATACTGTAAAAGGATGGGTCACACTCAAGAGAATTATTACTCCTTACGTGGCTTCCTTTCCAAAACCGTTAATATTTCAAAGATTAAAACTTCCATAAGACTGAAACTTCCACTTCTAAGTTCACCGAGGATGAATATCAAAAGTATCTAAGGTTAAAGTCTAACAGCTTGGCACAACCATCTCAATCTCCCAATACATCAACAACCTTCATTTCTCAATCCATGGAAAGCCAAAATTCATGGGTAATTGACTCAGGTGCTTCTGATCACATTTTTGGTAATACCTCTTTATTCTCATCTATTTCCTTTTGAGAAAAACTTCATTTCATAACCTTGCAAATGGATCTATAACTTCTTCTAAAGGAGTTGGTCATATTTCCTTGTTTCTCTCCCTCAATCTCAACTCTGTCCTTTTTGTCCATAATTGTCCTTTTAATTTAATTTCCCTAAGTCAATTGACCAAAATGTTAAATTGTTCAATAACATTTGATAAAAAATCTTTTGTTATACAAGAGTGTGGTTTGGGGAGACATATTGGAGAAGGATATGAAGTTAGCGGATTATACCATTTTGGATATCGTCCAAGAGTGTCTTGTGTTGCTGCTCCTAATCCTAAAGTACTACATGATCGACTTGGTCATCCTCATTTGTCCAAATTAAAAAAGATGTGTTCTGAACTTTTGTCTCGCGCTGACTTAGAGAAGAAGAAGTTTGTTCTTCTCGCGCTCAATCACCATATGTTCTTACGGAGTTTATTTATTGTTCATTGATTTGGTAAATAATGTTAGTTCATTTCTAAATTCCTAAATTAGTAACATCCCAAAACCCTAATCCCTCTCTTGTCTTCCAAAACCATAATCTCGAAATGTTTCTATATTTAAGATCGAAGGAAATTGGGTAAGGGTATTTTCTGTCAAGTTTATGTTGGTAGAAGGGTAAGTGATGGCTCTGGTCGAATAGCTCCTGATGTGGTTGAGGTATTACTCATAATTTCAATCTCTTTAAGGGTTTGATGAAGTATTAGTGAGCCTATGCTGAATGACACATTGTTTTTACTTATTTTAACCTTCTTTAGAGGTTGTAGTTAAGTTTGAGCATAGAAAGAGTAAGGGTTGCAATTATTGGCCTCTTTGGGCCTTTTGTGTTTGAACATGATTACTCGACACCAAACAGGATCATTGAATGTGTTCATCTAGATCGGTCGATCCATCGTACTTTTCGAACGTCGGGGGCGTTGACTTCTCCGACATCGGTGCTTCCATGACTGTCATGGGGAAGGGTAGCAGGCCCTTGACCTATACCGTAAGGACCGAGATGGTCATCTTAATAGCTGCGCTATTCACTTCTTGCCCAGTCTTACTAATCTCCTGAATGGTCGTCCTCACCTCCTAAGCGGTCCGACTAGGTCTATCACATGATTATTTTCTTCGATTTGATGGGGATGAGGGACATCAAATGTTAGGTCGATTGCTCCTATTGAGCAACAACGTGTTTTACCCTTAATGCGGCTATCTTGGTGACATGCCTTCGTTGCATCTCCTGCATTTGAGCCTGCATCTATACCTGCATTTCCCTTATCAGTTTCATAAGGTCTTGTTCTCTCATGTTTATTGTCGTCATCATTGGATATTTTCCTTACGTCCTCAGACCTTACTATGTACACCAAAATGTTTCCGTTTGTGTAGTCGATATTAAGGCTTTTTATACAAATTATCTCCTTACTCCTAGCTTGGACCCTACTTTTATGAATGTAGCAAAAACAAGTTTTATTCTGCATTCCACTTCACTTGTATTTTCTATATACGAGGCTATAGCATTGCTATTGTATCCTCCTAAAATCGTATCTAAATATCTCACAAACCAACTTCAATTGTGTATCGTAATCAATTTTCAGTGCCTAATTAAATTTCACTTTAGAAAACAATCTCAAACACTTAATTAATATCCATAACAGATAACAATGTCCAATACTTAAATAATACGCACTTCAAAACAATATCAAACTTTGTCATGCCTCCCAATAGAAAACAGTAACAACATTAAGAAAAACGACCACATTAAATATTTTTTAATAAATTTGAGATAGATTTAACTCGAATTTGAAAAATTACTCCAACTATTTTCATTTCTCTATCTCTCTCTCCTTGCATAACTTATGAGTTTTCCAATAAATGAAAATAAATATATTATATAATATCTAATTCTCTATTTCCATTTTACTTGGCGTTTTTTATAATAAAAATGTTAACTTTCATATACTTTTGTATTCTTCCTAATAATATATGAAATCACTATTGTTTATTCCCAACAGTTATATGCGCAAGAATAAAAAATTGTAATTAGACCATTTTCTATCTCCCTTGGGATTCCTGTTAAAATGGAACTATCTGACTGGGTATTTATTAGTATTGTATAACATGATTTCTATGTAAAGATTCAAAAAGAATTGTTATTCTTGATACGAAAAAGATAAATAGCTTCTGCATCAACTTCGTTGATGGTTGACTCAACTGCTACATGTTTCAATTCCTACATCGACGTTGTGGTGGATGACAGCATCTCTTATAAGAAAGTTATTTCTTGCATGAAAGATAGATTCCTGATATAATGGCCACCCCAGCCACGACAACACCAACAGATGTCACGATTCTTATTGCAGATACAGCTGGTTCAACAGATGGAACTGTCATGAGATCCTTCATCTGAAAAAAGAAAACGTTGTGAACTGAGGTAAGAAAATATGGCAATGAATAACAAAAGCATAACTATATGATTTTGGAAAAATATTGCAAAATAAGGGGCAAAAATCCGGTTCATATGACTGGTTATACAATTTTGTGATAAAAATACTTATAAATTGTCGATTATACCAGACAAATAACTAAATGTTCACCCACCACGACAGGTTGCTTCCAATGCTTCTTTATTCCCTGTAAATGACCCTTTCCAACAACAGCA